GCACACATGTGCCAGTTCACATCTGCAGGCTCAGGAAAGCAAATCCCCATACATCTGCCATGCTTGTAGCAGAATTTATTTATTTTCAATACCAGCCTAACCCCAGTGGTGTTATTATCGGTGTTACCCGCCGATACACATCACCTCTGCACTGGGGGTTCGTCGCTTCTGGATGTGTGAGCGCGGGTGCGGTTTTCCCTGCAAAACTCCGCGCTTCCAGCACCCAGAAGGTTCCCACATCTCCACTCCCGAGGCGAGAGCACCCCCTTGCTACCGCCCAGCCGCCTCCCTCTCAGTGGGAGGGTGCCCGGGGTGCCTGCAACAGCCCGTCCGACCATCCGGGCCGATCAGCGACGGCGCTGCGGGTGCCGGTGACTCACGCTATTGGCAATAGGCAGGAAGAGGAGTGCTCGCAGGAGATGATAGTTGTGAGCTTTTTCTGATTGCAACGAGAGAAAAAAAAAACACAATACAAATCAAACCAGAAAAAAACAACCCTTCTGCTCAGGTTCTTTCAAGTTGCCAGACAGAGAAAACGGCGGGTGGGAACACATCAACAGAAACAAGCCGTGAGATGCAGCACATACCCTTAAGCTGCTCATTTTGGATTAAGCTCCAGTATTTATTGCTCACGTAGCTGATTTCGAAAATCTTTGTGATTTAGCTGCTCGGAGTTTTATCTCTCCGCCCTGCGCTATTATTTTATCTGACATATAAACCAGCGGAGGCGGGCAGCCGGCAGGCTGGGCAGGGTCCAGTTTGCAGGAGTATTTTGGATGGGAAGGAGGGGATATCTTCTCTCGTACTCTGTGTCCAGCTCTTCATGGACACGAGCAAAGAGGTCCCCAGTTCTGCCTTTACACCATCCTAAAGCACGACTCATCCTCGTCACGGGGATCGAAGCTCCTGGGAGAGGGCTCACCTGAGAGCCTAAGATCAAGGGGGAAAAACTATTTTAGAAAAATCTTCTGACCGAATTGAGATCATTCGGCGGCGTGAGGAGGGGATGGGAGAGAGCTGGCACACAAGTGGGTGAATTCCCCTTCACAGAAGGTCTTGGAGCAGCAGTGGTGACGTCGAAACGGCTGGTTAAATACAGGGGGGCGGAAAAAAAGTGATAAAAATACCACTTCACAGGGAGCTTTTCAACCCTGAGCCTGACAAGGAGGTTCAAAAGAAGAACAATCATTTCAAGCATCTTTTAAATAACTATTTCATAAGTCTCGTAGTACTATTTAATGTAATTTGAAGTTATTTTGGAAAAGGGATTTACCTGCTGTCTTTGAAAGCTGCGCTAATTTCTCAGTTTCCCCTACAATGAGACAGACAAATTTTTTGGTAAGATCCCAGAAAATCCTATCACAAGACAGCTTCCACTCAGCTCATCTCTGCAAGCCCACGATCATTTAGATCCCTTTTCCAAAAGAAATCAAAATTGCCGCGCCAATAAATAAAACCACCTTCAGCCTCAGCTTTCCCAAGCCGACAACAGGACATGCATGTCTGGTCCTAGAGCTGGTGGCCTTGGAAAAGCCCCTGTTCACGCTGCCCTGTCTGCTGTGCAACGCGTTAAACCCTAAACTTCACCTTGCAAAAGCTTCAGCACAGGGAACCTTACTCAAAGGGGTGAGCCCTTGGCTCGCCTGAGGAAAACTGGCTCCCAGGGTCTCGGGAGAATCGTGTTGCATCCTGCTCCTGAGCGCAGACCTCAGCGAGTCGTCCCATTCAATTCTAATTCCATGACTCAGAGCGGCAGGCCTTGGTAGAGGGGGGAGCTGCCTCACTCCGTTACTTTCCTGCCTGCAAACAATGCATTTTTCAGCGCCTCGCCGTAGCCGAGGTGTGTTTGACAAGGCAAGTTGCTGCAAGGCACGTCAAGTTCTGAATTCCCGTGCCAAGTTTTCCAAGCAGATAAAAGAGGAGGCTCCCAAGCTCTCCCATCACAGGGGTTTCTGTCTCCGTTGCCCTCTGCTCTTTTCCTGCCGCGCAGCTTTTATTCACCATCCTTTTTTTTTCCCCCTTTCCTGCTCTTTGCATTTCCAATTGAACAAGCCACCATGAGTCGGATCTCTTTCAGATCATCTACTGGAGGGGGCGTGAGGGGCTTTAGCTCAGGGTCTGCTATCGTAGGAGGTGGCAGCGGTACCAGAAGCAGTTTTAGCTCTGTCTCTGTCTCCAGAGTTGGAGGAGGAAGAGCCGGAGGTGGAGGAGGCTTCGGAGCTGGTGGTGGCTTTGGCAGCAGAAGTCTCTATAACCTAGGTGGAAGCAAAAGAATTTCCTACAGCTCAGTCGGTGGAGGTCTACGGAGTGGAGCCGGTGGTGGATACGGCTTTGGTGGAGGAGCTGGCTTTGGTCTTGGCTATGGTGGTGGAGCAGGCGCTGGTTTTGGCTTAGGAGGAGCTGGTGGTGGTGGCGGCTATGGGCTGGGCAGTGGATTTGGGCTGGGAGGTCCTGGATTTGGTGGTCGAGGTGGCCCCGGGTTCCCTGTTTGCCCACCTGGTGGCATCCACGAAGTGACTGTCAACCAGAGCCTCCTGGCACCCCTCAAGCTGGATATCGACCCGGAAATCCAGAAGGTGCGAACACAGGAGCGGGAGCAGATCAAGACCCTCAACAACAAATTCGCCTCCTTCATCGACAAGGTGAGAGTTTGGTCTTAAACACCAACCCCTGCGTGTTATCAGTTGCCTCGGGAAAGAACAACAGGAAGAAACTTCCTTCGGATTCCGGGGCTTGCCTGAACTAACCCCCGCCGACAGACAGCGTGGGTTTGGCTGAAAACTAAGAACTGTCCTACGTTCCCTTTTCACAAGGATGAATTTTTCAATGCCTTATTTTATTGAAAAAGTAAATTTCCCTCCTGCCTGTAAAAAACATCCTGGGGGCTGGATGGAACTTCTACTGGTTGTAAAATGGCGAAGCTCTACACAGCTCAATGGGATAACACCAGTTTAAACCAGTAAGGTGGGCTGAGCATCTAGTGGGGGAGAAACACCTTAAGCTGCAAATACAGGTATTTGGGCTGCTTAATCACTCTTGAAAAATCTCACTAAACAGCTGCTTTTGACACTTTCAAGAAACTAGTGCCCTAAATTAGGAAGATCCTAATAATTTCCCCAAAACTTCCCAGCGTCTCTTGACCTTTTCTTTCTGTGCTGAATGATCCCTCCTTTTCCTGGTAGCGGGAATTTTTTGTGTGTCGTTCAGATGGGCTTCAGCACGTGCCTGTTTTTGTTCCCTCAGGTGCGCTTTTTGGAGCAGCAGAACAAAGTGCTGGAGACCAAGTGGAGCCTCCTGCAAGAACAAGGTCACACAGTCACCAGAAAGTCCCTTGACCCCCTTTTCGAAGCCTACATCAACAACCTCAGAAGGCAGCTAGACAGCCTTTTGGGAGAGAGGGGAAGGCTGGACTCTGAACTGAGGAACATGCAGGACATGGTGGAAGATTTTAAGAACAAGTAAGAGATCGTGCTCTGTAACGCAGATGATTAGCAGACGAGAAAATCGCGGCGGGCGGTTCATGTTTGCTGGCGCACACCTTGTGTTCGCGCTGGGTTCCTCTTCCAGTTTGCAAAATGAGTGTATAAAAGCAAAACTTGATCTCAGAATTACCTCTAGCTGCATCGGGTTCCTTACGCGCAGGATCAGCGTTTAGCACAGAATCCGTGCACCCGTGGGAAGCTGCTCCGGTGTAACCGAGGTCACGGAGCAAAATAATACACCTGGAGACAGAAAAATGCATAACTCATGAGTATAATGGAGGTGCAAAAAGGGAATGAAGCAGCCATAAACTGCCAGATCCAAAAATCCCCCCTTTCTCTTTTCGCAAAGGAAATCCCAGCCTCTCCAGAGGGCCCAGGCGACCCAGGCGGCCGCGCTCGGCTCCGACCACGTGAAAGGCGCTCGGCTCTTTTCTCCGACCCTTGTCAAAGAAAACGATTTCCCTGGGGAGGCAATTAATCCCATCCTGAGATAAGGTGTCCAGCGGAGGTGGGATGGATCATTCTGAGGACACACCAGCTGGCATCTGCTGACTATAAGGGACATTTAGGTGTTTTTTTTAGGTGAGGCCATTCATTTTTAGTTGGCTGAAGTCTGGTGAGAACAATCTCTCCCTTATTCAACCAGATCTGGCCAAGTGTAAATCTGAGGAAAAACACCCTGGAGGACTGAAATATGTTTATATTAGAGAGTTAAGCATCGGAAAAGACAGATTTTTTGGGGGGCAGGAGGGAGATGGCACTTAGGGCTGGCAGGATGGGCTGACATAGCTTCTGGTATGTTGTACTTGGGTGCATTTCAGGTCTCGATATGGATTACAGGCTTTTAGAAATACAGATCAGGCCAAAACCGACAAATGATATTGTCTGGATTTTGGAGCTACTGCCTGGGAAAAAGAACACATTTTATTTCAAGTCTAGAGGTGGTTCCCAGTCCACTGGCTAATTGCCACTTCTTCCTGTGTCCACTTGGCGGTCCATCTGCAGGGATGGCTCTGCCAGCATTAGAGGACTGGCACAAACCTGCCTTTAAAATCCAGGTCTTTGCCTCAACAGCCTACATGTTTTGTCTACTTTCTAGCTAAGCCCTGCCCCGATTATCTGATGAGAGGATGTTGCTCAGAGCCATGAAAAGTTCCACAGAAACATGATCTGAGGCGTAATGATCTGCTCTTGCACAACCATGGCTAAAGAATCACAGACCTTTTTTTTTTTTTTCATTAAACGCTGCAGCGGGTTATTCAGAGCCATTAGAATTATTATAATATCAAATATCAGATTGTTACATTATTATATATTTGTAGGCATTCAATGCAGCTTCGTGGAAAGTCTTTTGCATGACTTTGCTTTGGGCAAAGGTCACCAAGAATACCTGCTCCTGCTTCCTACCGAAACGCACTCTGATCCTGCACACATTTACGCATGAGCTTGACTTCAAGGGCAGTGAATAATTTCTATCAGTTTCAGCTGGGACTGCTCACACCATGGAGTCTTGCAGGCTCAGAGTCAGTGACCATTTGCCCTGCATCTGCTCTGGACTGCAAACCCGGGGGAGTAAGGAATGGATCTGTCAGCCACAACTAATGATTTGAGACTGGAGTGGCCCCATCTCTGCTTCTCATGCTGGCTTTGCTCTTCGTTTCCACCAAAACCCTCTCACTCTTTTATCCTAACAGATATGAAGATGAGATCAACCGGCGCACTGGTGCAGAGAACGAGTTTGTGGTTCTCAAGAAGGTGAGTGAACCAGGAGTTACGGGACAGGCAATGAAATTAACTTGGCATGCACAGAGTCCAAGCAAAGCTGATGGGAGCTGCGGTCCTCCAACCTCATGGCTGAGCCAGGCCGTGATGTTGGCACATCAGGACTAAGAACGGGCTGGGTCCCCCTGAAGCTAGGAATGGGCATAACCTTCTCCATGCTGATGGAGCTGCCCTGTTTTCTGAAGACAGCTCCTCCGGTTGCAGTTGCAAACCATCTGGCCTCTTGTAGCTTAGTTCAACTCTGTCTTGGGTCACATCCCCATGAGTCAGAGCTTTGCCTTCTGCCGAAGAACCTGGTTCTGGCTCACAGTAAATGTCCAATGTTACATTAAAAAAAAACCCCATTGATCCTAGCAATATAAAACAAGCCTACAGAATAACAGACTTGGAAGCAGAGAGATGGTCCCAGTGCTGCCCTGAAGCCCCTTTGGCCTGTAGTTTCATCAGAATTCTTTGGTTTTCTTTTCTTTAGGACGTGGATGGTGCTTATATGAACAAGGTCGAGCTGCAGGCCAAAGCAGACGGACTGGCAGATGAAATTAACTTCCTGAGAGCTCTCTACGAAGCGGTAAGCAGTCAGTTCTCCCCACGACAGCATCCTCCACAGCTCCCTGCTGTACAGCTCTCCATGCCCCCAGAGCTCTGGCCACCACGCTCAGTGCTGGAGAGTAGTAAAAGAGAAGGTGGTCAGTGCCTTTTTGAAATTACAGTGCAAGCATAAGATAGAAAGGGTAGACAGGCAGAGACCGAGCACGGAGGAATGCAAGAAAATGGCTCCGCGGGGGGGGGG